ACAGAAAGAATTATACTTTGGAAGCACCAAAAGTGGCTGGTACTTTTTGGAAATACCTAGAAATTAGAATAAAAGAAAGTGTTCATCAAGGCAAAAACTCCAGAATGATATTCTTCCAACAATGGAATGGCTAAGACTATGAACTTTGGGTCAGACACACCAGATTCACTTGTCTGTAAAGAGTGGGAGATTTGGGGATTGAACTGACAACTGTGGAAGGCTGTTCTGAGCCCTTGGGATTGCACAGCCAGGCCCACTGAGTGATGGATGGTCAAATGAGGAGCAGGTGCAATGCTCCATGGCCTCCGAGATGCAGGTGGTCTCTAGAGTGCTACCCTTCAAACTTAAATGTGCATATGAATCACCTGGACATCTTGTTAAAATGCAGAGTCTGGTTCAGTAGTCTGGGGTATGGCTTGAGATTCTGTACTTCTAATAAACTCCCTGGTGATGCCAACGCTGCTGGTCACGGGTCACACTTTGAGTAGCAAGAAAATGTGCTCTGTTGAACTCTCCCATTGTGACTGCCATCACAACCTGTCCACCTTCTTCTTTTGAAGTTGCTCCCTTGTTCTTTCTTTTTCGTTAAAGCACTGCCATACTCTTAATCCTGGGCACTTGTGCTGTAATATCAGAAAAAAAATAGATGCACGTTTTTATCATCTTTGATCACTCATTGTATCCATTAGCACTGCATTGCCCCAAGCCCTGGGAGCACACAGAAGACTTGGCCCCTACCCTCCAAGGAATAAAAAAACCATCAGTGACTATTCACCAGTAATCATTTATTGAGTGCCCTCTATTGGTATTCTTAGACTGAGAGAACTCACAGGGAAGACCAAAACCATTGAAACCTTGTTAACCTTTCTGAGTCTCAGTTTTCTCAGATGCAGAATATGGATACCAACACATATCTCAAAGACTTACTTCAGGGCAAAATGAAATGAATGTAAAGTCCCTAGTAATCGCTAGCTGGTGAATAGTTGTAATCCTTTCCTTTTAGTTCTATTAGGTTGTCGTACAGACACAGATACATGAACAGAGTTTCAAAAGGGAAACTCTTGGCCTATGGCCTGTGGCCGTGGGTATTCTAACAAAGGAAAGCACTCAGAATAAGGGTTTTCAGGGACTCTCAGGAACCTAAATCACTAAGAGGCACCCAGCCCTTGTGGAGCTCTACCCTTCTGTAAATCATAGTCTTATATTACCACACCCTGCTGGTGGCCTCGGGTTCTTTAGTAAAGCAGAGTCTCTTCCCTCAGTTTCCAGTGAATTCTTGGTGGAAATAAGTCTTATTCTCCCAAGGATTCTCTTTTTTTTTCTATTCTGCCTCTGAAACCTGTTCTATTCCTAGTTAGGGAGTATCAGGAGCCCCTGTCTAATGCACATGGTGACTCTGCACTGACGCAGCCTTGCTGCCTGCCCTGCTCTCACCTGGTGCTCCAGTTCTCATAAACTTCTGCATTCTGCAAGAAATCCAGGTCTCTGCTTTGTACCCGTAGCTGTGTCTCTTTCTTTCCCATTTCGTTTCTAATAAATATTTATGGAGTGCTTATTCTCAGCTAGGCATTGTGGTAGGTGTAAGAGCTACCTGCCATTCTCCCACTCTTTACAGACAAGCAAATCTGGTGTGTCTGACTCAAAGTTCATAGTCTTAACCATTCCATTGTTGGAAGAACATCGTTCTGGAATTTTTGTCTTGATGAACATCTTCTCCTTCCAGGAACATAAGAAGGTTTTATTTCATAGGCCCATTGAAATGAGGCAAGACCTTGTGACTTCTATGATCAATCCATTGTGAGCAGAAGTGATGTGTGTCACCTCCATGTGGAAGCATTTGAGAGATGGTGTGAGATTCTTTGTGCCTCTTCTTCTTCCTTCCTCAGTAAGTGTGGGAGTCCTGTTGTGTTGACAGTGTCGTGACGTGCTATAGCCTCCTTCAGCCTGAGCCTCTGAATATATCTGAGGTGAGAATCTCTCCTGTCAGCCTGTGTTATACATGTAGTTTGAGCATAAAACAAACCCCTGTTGGTCAAAACCACTGAGCATTGAGTCTTTCGTATTGCAGAATGACCAAGCCTTCCCTAATTGGGAATTATTTTTTTGGAATTATTCCAAACACCTCCCTTTTACAATTTAGCAGGAGGAATATGTGCAATAAATATATAAGCAAACAAATATGTAAAATATTAGGAAATGATGAGTTCCGTGAAGAAAATAATACTGGGAAATTGGATGTAGAGTGACTTGGAGGTTGCCACTTACACAGCAGTGTTCAGAGACTCCTTGCAGAAGGGGTGGTAGTTGAACTGATGAGGCATAGCCACATAAAGATTGAGAAAAAGGAGCTCTGGCAAAGGAAACAGAAGTCTGAAGGTTTGAAGCAGATTGGATTGATCGTGTGTACTGTTCGCTCTGGTTACTTTTGATAAGCGGACTGTATGTCAGCAAGAAAGGAAGCAGGGAAATCAGTAAGGAGGCTATTGTGATAGAACAAATGAGAGATGGGGCATTAAGACGAGGCTTTTAGTAGTGAAGTTGCTGAAAAGTGACCTGACGCAGGATCTATTCTGGAGATGTCAGTAACAGAACTTGCTGACAGATTGGCTGTCGGCAGCAGAGGGAAAGAAAAATCAAAGGTCACCTCCCAGGTTTTTGGTCTGAGAAACTCAGTGCTATTTAGTAAAATGGTAAAGGGGAGGCCAGGAGCAGGTTTGGGAGCGAAAAATCAAGAGTTTGGCTGTAAGCATGTTAGGTTTGAGATGGCTACTTGCAGTCGAGTGGAGTTATCAGGCCGGCAGTTAGACATGTGCATCTGGAACTCAGGAGAAGCCCTATTTGGAGACAGCATTGGGAGAATCAGGGAGCATACAGATGATAACTGAAGTTTAAGACTGTTTTCAAGATAGCATAGAGAAGAGAGGCAAGAGCAGAGAGTTTGAACATTTAAAAGTTGGACAGGGAAGAATGGGTCATCAGGCAGACTGAGAGCTAGAGCTGTACCTAGTAAGGGAGGAGGCATGTGGCTTGAAGAACAAAAGATGACAATTTGTGTCAAATGTGGCTATAAGTTCAAATGTGATGAAAAGAGAGATTTAGCCATTAGAATACCTAGCATGGTTATCAGTGACCTTGATAAGAGCCATTTCAGGAGTGAAGACTAAAGAGGATGTGACAAAGTAGAGATCTAGACAGGTTTTCCCAGGAGTTTCAGTGTAAAGACAGGCAGAAAAGTGGGGTAGGAGTGGGGTCCCTGTATATGAACCTCTGCCTTGACAGCATGTGTGACATCTCATGCCCTCCAACTTTGGTTAGACTTGCCTCCCCAGCTTGCTATTTCTAGACTCCATATGAGCTTGAGTCTTCTCTTGAATCCTGTGCCCAACACTGGGAATGTACACCTGCCAGAGAGACCACCCCAAGAGCAAATTTCTCCCTGCCAGAATCTCTACCTAAAGTAATAGTAAACCACATGTTCAGAAGAGATATGAATAAAGGGATAAAGAAGAAATAAATAAATCTGTTCTTCACAAACTCAGAAAGGGTCTAAGGCACTTGATGGCAGCCAGTGATAATTCTGGATCCCCAAAAATGATGGCCATGAAGATGAGTGTGATGGTGAGAAAGTCACCTCATCAGCCGTCAAGGTGATAGATGGTCATGATGCTGGGGATTATTTAAATTTAACAATTGAATTATTAAATACAATAAATTCAAATGAATTCAATTGTTAAACACAGTACAGTCAAACAGTTCAAAATTCAAAACATAAAATGGATGCACAGTGATGTCTCCATCTGATCCCTGTTTCCTACCTTCCAGTTCACTTCTTCCAAAGAAACTCATTATTTTCTTGTCATTCTTCCATATGTACATGTGCATTCTTCCCACCCTCCACCTCTTGACACAAGTGGCATTTTACCCACATGCTATGCCGAATCTACAGAGCCAGAAATCTGCCAACATGGAGAGAATTAGGTTTCTGCAAATCACTAACAGCTTCTGAATTTATAATAATTTTTTTTTTTTTTTAGAAAAGCAGTTGTTTCTTAGGTAGTAACCATGATAAGTAGAGTCTAAATTGAGTTCTTATGTGCCTGGAGTGTCTGTTGAATACAGCTGACCTATGAGGGGCAGAAGATACCTGGGAGAATAAATATAGGAGATGTGGCATTTATGCCTAAGTATTCTGACACAAGTTCCCAGGGATGTCATGGAACCTTATCATCACTGATGTATCCACTTGCCATCATCCCCTCCCTTTCAGAACTTCTGGGAAAGCCCTGCCCTCCTGCCAGCACACCCTTGGCTGGCTTAGGTCCTTGGCTGGCTCTCTCTGAAGTTAATCAGCTGCCAGAATCACCACCTGTCCCCTGTCAAAATTGGCCCTGTATTGCAAAATGCCTCCCTCTTGGCTGGCCATTCTTGCAATACTTCCATCAGCATTTACCATGGACACAGGTCCCCATTATCCCAGTTTGATGTCCCACTTCCCACTGCCTGCCTGAGTCCCTCTCCAAGCAGGGGGCATGTAACTTTTAAATATGAACCAATTCTAATATTTAAAAACAATAGAGCCCGGTTTTTTAAATGACCACCTGACTCACCAAGAGAAGAGAAGCTGCTCATTTTCTTTTCTTTTCTTTTCTTTTTTTTTTTTTTTTTTAGGGAAAACTTGGAAGCTTTTTATTTGATAACTAGTACTGGATAATGATGCCTACTTATTATTCTTTTTTTTTTTAATTCTTTTTTTAAAATTGCACTTTAGGTTCTGGGGTACACGTGCAGATTACACATGGTTGTTGCATAGGTACACACATGGCAGTGTGGTTTGCTGCCTCTATCACCCCATCACCTACATCTGGCTCATTTTCAAATGATTCCCAGCTGTTATGATAGCACTGTGGGACTCCGGAAGGACTCCTGAGTCGCCGGATGTGACGCAGGCGAGGGCGCTCTTGATCACCCGAGAAAGCGCAGAGAGGGCGGGTCCTGTGTGAGGTCTGGCAATTGGGGACAGAGCTGGGTGCCCAGGCCCGAACGCCCACGGCAGCACCAAGCCTGCACTCCTGGAGCACCCCAAGCTTTCCAACGCCATGGCCAGGGCACTGCACCGGCACATTATGTTGGAGCGGGAGCGCAAGCGGCAGGAGGAAGCGGTCGACAAGATGAAGGAACAGAAGATGAAGGAAGAACAGCAGGGAAGGAAGAGAAAAGAGATGGAAGAGAGAATGGCACTAGAGGAGACCAAGGAACAAAGTCTGAAGTTGCAGGAGAAGCTTTTGGCCCTACAGGAAGAGAAGCACCAGCTTTTTCTGCAGCTCAAGAAAGTTTTACATGAGGAAGAAAAATGGAGGCGAAAGGAACAGAGTGACCTGACCACCCCAACATCAGCTGCATACCAGCAGAGCCTGAGTGTTCACACAGGAACTCATATCCTCAGCAAGCAGGGGAGCCCTGGAGGACACAATCGCCGGGGCACCCTCATGGCAGCTGACAGAGCTAAACAAATGTTTGGACCCCAAGTGCATATGACCCAGCACTACGTGGGCTCAGCAGCTGCTTTTGCAGGGACACCAGAGCATAGAAAATTCCAAGGCAGCCCTGGTGGTGCCTATGGGACTGCTTAGCCCCGACTTCACTATGGGCCCACACAGCCAGCTTATAGTCCTAGTCAGCTCCTCCGTGCTCCTTCAGCGTTCCCTGCTGTGCAGTACCTGTCTCAGCCACAGCCCTAAGCTGTGCACAGCCACTTTCAGCCTACTCAGACAGGTTTCCTCCAGCCTGGTAGTGCCCTGTCCTTGCAAAAGCAGATGGAACATGCTAACCATCAGACTGGCTTCTCCGACTCATCCTCTCTGCTCCCCATTCACAGGCTCTGCATCCAGCCCCTGAGCTCCTTGCTTCCACCCAACTCCCTGTGCATATGCAACCAGCTGGAAAGTCAGGCTTTGCAGCTACCAGCCAACCTGGCCCTCTGCCCGCTTCATCCAACACAGCTAGAACCCATGATTCAACCACAAGTGATCATCAGATTATATCTTCAGCACTATGCCCCCCACCCCACCATGGATGTTGGTACCCCCCTGTATGTCCCAGGAACAATAAAATCTACCTGCCACTGCCCCTGACCGTGCCTGAATAAAAAAAAAAAGCACCGTGCCTGAATAGCTCAGTCATCACAGAAGCAAGGAGGGCAGTTTTATTTTATATTTGACCTAGTAACAGAAATTGTAATTGGAAATCAACTTGAGATACTTAGAACAGCTACTTATAATCTTGTCAATTAACATTTGTGCATCACTTTACTCTTTATGAAGCACTTTTATGTACACTGTCGTAATACATTAGGGAGCGATGGTGGCTCCAAGCAGAGAAAAAAAAAAACTATTATTTTATTGCCTAATCTTAGAAATAGGGAGGAAACAGGTTCTTTCAAAGGAGAATATCAAAGTAGACCACAGAGCTAAGCACAAAAGAAGCAGCATTATCATTGCCAAACTCAGAGAGGCTGAAATGAAAATATTGCCAATTCAAGAGAAACACATCGTAGGAAGAGGGTCAAACCAAAATGAGGACCTATCACAGAATGTTCAAGATTGAAGCTGATGAACAGCTGTATGGCCAGAGTAGGTTTTTAGTTCCTTTATTTACCATATAGGTAACACGTAGCTTTGTATTAAAATAGAGCAACTACAGCTGAACCAAAAGAAAATGCGCGGTATATTTTAGGCTTTTCTGCCCAGTATCATTGATGGCCACAGCCTGAGGGAGAGTTGCCTGAAGTTTGTCCACACTAATGCCCCAATTTGTTTCTTCTTTCCTTTTTTCCCAGAGGAAAAAAAAAATCTTACTGGTTCCCTGTCTGGTGTGCTCCTTCTTCCAGTGGTTTGGGAATAAACATTTTCCTAGCTGTTGTTAACTCAGTAATGGACTTGACTGACGGTAGCCGCCTCTCCTGGAGAGTTGGTGTTCATAGTTGTCTCTTATCTCAAAGGCAACGGTGTATTCATGTAAATTGTGAAAGAATCTGGCTTGATTAATTTGATGGCAATGAGTGCCAAGTACAGTTGTAATTCGTCACATCTGCTGATTCTGAATCACCAATTTTGAATAAATATTTCACTTTGGTGCTTTTCCTGAAGAGTCTTAAGAGACTGACTTCTACACATCTTCATGTATCTACCTCCATCCACACTGTATTTGCCTATTAGGTTTCCTTGCATGCAGTAGGTACTCAATACATGTTTACTGACTGAAAGTTCTCTTTCTTAGAGGATAGTGAGGCTCCACTTTTGAATTGGGTGATTCAGTTGGCTTTGTCTTGCATGAACTAATCCAATATGAAAACATGTCCTGATGAGAAAGAGACAGATGAATTGTTGAAGACAGTTCTCCCCTTTGAGAGTAAATATATGGGAATGTGTGAGGGTTTGTGGCATGGCTAAAATGTGATGAGTGTGACTGTGTGTGAAGTGTGTGTGTGCCTGTGGGTACACATGGGCATTATTTATTCCCAGACTATAAGACGTTCCCAGTATATGCCCCTTTTAGCAGAAGAAAGCACTTGGGATTCTTTCTTCTCTGACAGTACTTGTCTCAAGACCCTCCATTCTCCAGAAGTCTTATCTATTTTATGACAGTTGTGCCCAAATGCCTCAGTTGGAAATTGATCTCAATCTTAGAAAAAAACAGACTCAGGCCGCCCCGGGCAGGACACAAGTGGAAAGTGATCTTTCTGAAATGAAGATCAGGGAGAATGAGGAAATGGAATGAGAGCAGGAAAGCAGCCAAGGAGATTAATACTGGCCTAGCTCTTCTGGAACATGGTTGAGGGACTTTCTCTGGAAAGTTCTAACAGTGTTAAGTCAGCCCAAACCCCCTCCTGGCCCAGAGATGAGGTGAGAGGCAGGTATGGAGGCAAGAGAGGAAAATAAGTGCAAAAAGAAACTGAATTAGAGGAAGAAAAGAAGAGAAGGGAATTCTAAGTGAAAATCAATTGATGGAAATAGTAAAGATTTATCAGTAGCCAAACAAATGTTTAGACTTTTCCTAGGTGGCTGTAAAAGAGTGCCTACCTGTATACCTGCCCACCCATCTATTCATCTATCCCACCTTTTTCCGAAAGGATTTAAGCTAATTCCATAAAGTGTATGTAATGATATGGTATAAACTATAATTAGGCAAAATTGCACAGAAACACAAGGATGGGGACAAAAATGAAGGCATGAATGGGGCTGGCCACACACACTATGACAGGCAGTGCCTGTCTATGGAACTGCCCGTGACAGTGAGAAACAGTGATACACATAACTAGAGTGAGAATCTTGCTGAACCTGCGGTCTTGGCCTGTGGCATGTGCCTTCCTCTCCAGATCTGCCTCTATGATCATGTCTTGCTTGGACTCAGCCACACCCAGTGGGCTTTGTGTGATGGCCTCTATATGCAATGGGTAGCAGGGGGAAGTTGGGCTAAACGTGTGTGTTTGTGAGTATCATATATGTTAAAACCCAAATGCAAAAATTGCTTTACTTGCATAAGGCAAATTAAAGAAAAAAACCTGTCCAACTATAGAAAAAAAAACCTTGTCAGAGGTTGTAAAACAGCAACATTAATTTTTTCAAAGCTCAGAAAATAGCGGATTTTACCTTTTTTTTTTTAGTTAGTTAAAAAATCCCACGATTGAAAAGTGTGTTGGCAGAGCCTGTGAGGTTCTTTTCTTATCTGACATCTCCCTCTACTGACAATACCTTCCCTCACTTTCCCTTTGCAACACAGCAGGGAAGTCCTTTGAAAGTGACATGCCTGTGAAATGCGTTTGAGTCTTGGTTCACAGATTGGAGAAGGACCAGGTTTTGTGGGGGAAGATCATAGGTTCCTTATGGGTCTTGGAGAACTGGAGCCTTCTAAGTTCAATCAGCAATAGGATTCATGTGTCTGGAGCTCAGAAGAGAGACCTCAGACAGAGATAGAAGTGAGAGAGTGGCCAGCAGGAGCAGATGAAAGGCAAGAGGAGGAGGAGGATGCCCTGACCTTGACAGTCACACACAAAGGCCAGGCAGATGGGGAGGAGCAAAACAACATACGTTCAAGTCATTCGTTCCTGTGATGCTTTTGCAAAGCATTTCATACGAAGGGCCGTCCATCTTTGACTTACATAATTCCAATATTGGGAAACTCACTCTTTCATTGCTGTTTGACAATTCTTATTGTTAGAAGGTTATTACTTCGATGAGCTGGAAGAATCTGGTTCCCCACCATTTCCGTCCTTGTTTTCTCATTCTGCTGTTCAGTGTGATAAAGATAGAATCTGTCATCTCACACGTTTATCCAACAAATGCTTCCCCATGAAAATCTCATGAGACAAATATGAGTAAATGTTTAAATTGCCCAGATCAATGCCTTTTTCCCTACCCTCTCCCACCTCATTATAAGCCCTTGAGAACATAGACTGTGTCTTATTCCCTTCCCCACCAGCCTCTGGTCCATCAGACATTTCAGAGAGTGTTTCTATGTAGTAAGTTCTTCTTGAGCATAATCTATTTAGACATCACATCAAATGAATGAGTAACAATTATTATCAGCCCCATTCACAGATAAGAAAACAGTTTAGAGAGATAAACTTGTACAACGCCTTATAGGAACTGTGTGGTAGAGCTTGACTTGGATACCATGTCTCTCTGATACTGAGGCTTGGGGCAGTTAAATCAATGTGATCTTAACGCTTTTGCCAACTAGACACCATGAGGCACAGAAAAAGACCACAGTAGTGTTCACTGGATTGAGTTAATCTGTGGTAGTACCTACTTGGAAATTGGTAAAGTGAAGTCAACAGTATATAGATGAAACAGGTAAGACTGTCTCTAGAATCAAGCTTCTCCTCCACTGAAGTGACTGACTCTTCCTTATCTCAAATCAGCCCCCATAAAGCAGCCCCCATCCCAGCTTGCTCCACCAGCCTCAGTCAGCAGTCAGTTCTATCTGGCTCCATCTATGGCCCTGTCGTCTTCCTCCAGCCCTCACACCAAGCCTCCATCCATACAGGGTTTCTATTGCCCTAATGGTTTGATCAGTACTTCCTGTTCCCATCATTCTAGATTCTTTCAAAGAGCAACAGATTCCTGCTGGTTATATTTTGAATGTAATGGGCTTGAGCTCCCCACTAACAAGCTGTGTAACCTTGAATAAGTTATGTACCTCCTTTGAGCCTTGAGTTTATTGTCTTTAAAATAATGGGCCAGGCATGGTGACTCATGCCTGTAATTACAGCATTTTGGGAGGGTGAGGTGGGAGGATCACTTGAGGCCAGGAGTTCAAGAGGCCAGCCTGAGCAACATAGTGAAACCCCATCTGTACAAAAACTTTAAAAACAAAAATATTAGCCAGACATAGTGGTGTGTGCTTTGTACTCCCAGCTACCTGGGAGGGTGAGAGGAGAGGAAGTTACAGGAGATCAAAGCTGCAGTGAGCTACAATCATGCCATGGCACTCCAGCCTGAGCGACAGAGCAAGACCCTGTCTCTGTTTAAAAAATAAATAAAACAGGAATGAGAACTATTACTTGATAGCATGCTGTGACTTTAACTAAAAATGTAAGTTAAATGTGCAACAGACTGTAATCCCAGCACTTTGGGAGGCTGAGGTGGACAGATCCCGAGGTCAAGAGATCAAGACCATCCTGGCCAACATGATGAAACGCTGTCTCTACTAAAAAATACAAAAATTAGCTGGGCGTGGTGGCGCGCACCTGTAGTCCCAGCTACTCGGGAGGCTGAGGCAGGAGAATTGCTTAAACCCAGGAGGCGGAGATTGCAGTGAGCCGAGATTGCACCACTGTACTCCAGCCTAGCTCCTGGTGACAGAGCAAGACTCTGTCTCAAAAAAAAAAAAAAAAGGTGCAATAGAGTGCTTGCCCTACCTCCTGTCTACTCTGTGAGTCTGTAGATGGAAACTGAAAAATTTGTGATTGCTCTTTCAACTTGGAGAAGATGAACAATGAGAGGAAATAGAGACAGCAAAGAGAGAGA